AAAAAAAAAAAAAAAAAAGAACTGGGGTTTGAAAGTGTGTGTGGGGAGGGGGGCGTTCTTCACACTGCCTCAGTTTCCCAGAAGGCGCCAGCACCATAACACTATCAGTTGCCCTCCTATGTCACAGGAATTCTCTTTCTTCTCATTTAAATAAATCCTACTCTGTTCACTTTTCCCTTTCCTTATTGTCTGTGGATTTTAGTTTTCAAATTTGTGAGTCAAGAACCAAGAAAGAAATTGGATAAGCAGAGAATGTAGTTTCATCTCAAAACTCCAGTCTGAAAAGGAGAGATGTCTCTACCAAGGGCCCATGACCAGGGAAATCAGGGGAAGGGGCTTGAGAACAGTGAAGTCCAGCCTAGGGCTGCCTGAGAGCTGAGGAACAGAGGCCTTTGACACAGCCTGTTGACAGTCACACCAGTAGCACGAGTAAACAGTGTCACACACTTGATGTTCACATCCTTATCCTCAGTCTCCTTCCTGTGGGCAAGAAGGGCCAGGAGGGACTGAGAGAGGACACATGGCCCTGAGTGGCAGTTCAATGGCACAGGAGCAGGAGTGAGGCCTTCAGCTCTGTCCCAGTGTCACCAACTGCCAGGCTGCAGGCCTTAGATTGCTTTACCTGGCTGAACCTCCGTTTCTTTGCCTGGAAAAATGGAGATACTGGCTGTTCATAATCTTGTTCTCCCTCTATTAAGCTAAGACACGGTAGTTATTTGGGGATGAAGAGTTTCAGTAGAGGTCAGAGCTCGCTCTCTTGGAGTGAGAAGAGTTGAGGGTAGAATTAAGGAGGAAATTAAAATTTATTTTTCTTTCCCTTAAGGTAAACGTGACCATGGTTCCTTCCGGGCCCTGGCCCCCCTGTCTCAGAGGTCTGAGGGTAAGGGTTAGGCATTCACTAGAAAGCCTTTCCGGAATACGGACCCCAGCCTATCTCAGGACCTACAGGGTTAACAGGACCGGGGAGATACCCCCACCCCAGGATTTACTCGGGCATGCTGGGACTTGCAGACTGGCTGACCATCCTATGGCGCAGGGGCCGCTGGGAAATGTAGTCACTGACCTTGCCGGCCCCAGAGTCCCGCGCTCCCAGCGGTGACAGCTCAGGAGGTAGGCGGCGATGGCAGGGGTCTAGGAGCAGGTGTCGGGTGGGAGGGACAAGGCAAGCTGACAGATGGGACCCCTGCACTGTAGCCATGAGATTGGACATTTCCCCCACCCCCTGCCTGTGGCTGATGCAACGGGGCCTGCTGGGCAGGAAGAAGGGCAAGAAGCACCCGGGCACTTTTCCCTCTCCCAGGATAGAGGAGCAAAACTGGGTTCCTTCTCCAGGATGGGACCCTCCCTACCTGAGAGTAAGGAGATGTCCCCCCAGCTTATTCGGATACACCATTAATACCTCCCAGAGGATCAATACTGCTCCCCCGAGAAAAGAGGCAGAGCCTGCCCCAGGAGCAACGGAACAAAGTCCTGTCTCCGCAACGTGACCCGGCATCCCACTTTCAAGGAGTAGACTGGCCCCCACTAGGAACGGTAGATGCCCTCCCAGATAAAAGGCACGATAACGAATTGCAGACCTGGCCAGGGGCAAAGGGATGGGGCTCTTCTCTCGAAACGCTTTAAAAGCCCATTCTAGAGAGTGGGAAGAGGAGGAGGAGCAGGCCTCCCCTTCCCTTCTCCCTGCACAAAAGCCCTCCTTCCTGCCCGCAGCCCTCTGAAGCAGCTGTCACTTCATCCCTCACTTGTAGACCAAAGAGGGATCCTATCTGTCCTGCCCAGGGAGAGTCTCAGAGGGGGCCAGCATGGACCAGTCGGTGGCTATCCAGGAGACTCTGGCTGAGGGGGAATATTGCATCATCATATCCTTCCTGGCTCTGAGCTCCTAGCTCTGGCCCCGTGGGAGGTCAAACAAGGGGGTCAAGGTGTCTGTCCACTCTCTTCCCCTTTTCTCTGAGCTGTCAGGGGAGAAGGAAGCCAATATTTACTAAGTACTCACTTGGTCCTGGACTCCTTGTCAAGTGCCTTAAGTATGCAACTAGCCTCCCAAACCCCTATGAAGTTGGGGATTATTATCCCCATTTTGCAGATGAAGAAGGCTCAGAGAGGAGAAGTGACTTGACCAAGGTCACACAGGGAGTCTGGGAGGCAGGAGAAGGGCAGGGAAGGTGGGGTGGGCTGGATGGGGAGAGGCCTGGCTTCGGGTTTCATTTTTCCTTGACTCTGAGCAGCAGGCGGTACAAGGTGTGCTGTGTGAAGGGGACAGCCGGCAGAGCCGCCTACTGGGGCTCGTTCGCTACCGCCTGGAGCACGGTGGCCAGGAACACGCGTGAGTGAGGGGCTCGGTCTCTGCCTGTCTGGGACTTGGGGTTAGTCTCCATTGGGGGTGTGGTTCAGTGGCTAAGCACCTCTTGCTTCAATCCAATCCCCAGTACCCCCCCCCCCAAAAAAAAAAGAGATTTAAGTAGGGTTGAAGATAGAGTTCAAAGGTCGAGTGCTTGCCCACCATGGGTGATCCCCAGCACAGCAAAAAAAATAAATAAATAAATAAAGATTGTGGCGGGCTGGGGCTGTAGCTCAGTGGTAGAGCACTTGCCTTGCATGCATGAGGCACTGGGTTCAATCCTTAGCACCACATAAAAATAAATAAAATAAAGATATTATGTCCATCTACAACTAAAAAAAATTTTTTTTAAACTGAAAAAAAGAAAAAAAGAAAAGATTATGGCACATACCTGTAATCCCAGCTACTTGGGAGGCTGAGGCAGGAATATTGGCAAATTCAAGGCCATCCTGGGCAATTTAGTGAGACCCTGACTCAAAATAAAAAATAAGAAGGTCTGGGATGTAACTCAGTGGTAGGGAGCCCCAGGGTTCATTCACCATTAATTAAAAAAAAAAAAAATGGGAGTGGTCACAGGAGGCCGATTTGCCAAAGGGCGGCATCTTGGGAAATGAGACTCTTTAGATGGAGGAGGATTAAGGAACCTGAGGAAGAACGAATTAGGGAAAAATCAAATTTTGCAACTGCAAAGGCCTTTCAACACTTATCTTTGCCTTAGAACACAAGGGAACTTAAAATTTTCCTCATGCATCAGCGCCCTTCAGACAAGGTTGGGTGCGTTCAGGGTGGTTTGGCCGTAGATGAGTCTATACTTCAAAGGTCTGAAACACTGTGAGGCACCTAGAGGTTCTCTGGAAGCAATGTCCGGTCACATCCGCTCAGTACACTGGAGCAGAGGGTAAATGACCTCATAGCTAGTAAGTGGACCTCAGGGCCTCAGAACTGGGTGGAAGGGGCCAGAGGTGGATTTTCTTATCCTCCATCCTAGTTTTAGAGATAGGAAACTGAGGTTGGGGAAGGGAGAGGGGGTGGCTGAGGTTGCACTGTGGCTGTCACATGCAGCACTAGAAGGCACATTTTACTAACAGCATGGGCTCCCCAAAGTGAGAAAAGTTCCACTTTGATGACCTCATCCATAAACTGCAGTTTCCACAGGTACCCTGAACAGAGCTGGCCTGAGTAGTGAGCCTGGGCACCACCAGAATTGCCCTAGGGACCCACAGACAGCATGAACACCTAGGCTTCGAAGAGGAGCCTGAGGCATGGCCAGTGGGCCCTGTCCTCACTTCCGCTTCCTGCCCTCAGTCTCTTCCTGTATACGCACCGGAGGATGGCCATTACCGGGGATGATGTCTCCTTGGACCAGATAGTGCCAGTTTCACGAGATTTTACGCTGGAAGAAGGTGCCACAGAGGGCTGGGTGGTATGAATCCCTCTCCTCTAGGTGTCCCCTGAGTCATCTCTGCCCACATTGGGGATGGGTGGTGGGAATAAGGATGACATTGGGGCAAGGGTGCTCAGTTGCTAAAGACATTCTCGTTTCCTTCCTGCACAGTGTCCACAGATGGTGAACTCTACATCCTTGGTGAGTGGTCCTCTCACTCTGGGTCCCAGTTGGGGAAGAGGGTGCAGAGAGAGAGAGAGAGAGAGGAATGTGTGAAGTAAGAACACCCCTGATGTCCTTACTGTGGCAAATAAGACCCTGAAGGGACTTTTCAGAGACTGAGTCTTCCCCTTCTATAAAGTGGGGAGGGTGTTAACCAATTGAGTCCCAAGCTTTCAATTCTTTATAGGACATAATGGGTTATTTTGGAAGTGAGAATACAGAGGGTTCTCTTACTGTAAGTAAATTTCCATGGGCTCATTTCCATCCTGTCTCCCTTGCTTGCTGCCCTAGACTCTTCTGGGTCTCTCTCATCACCTTGAACACCCCATGTTCTCACAGTGGTGTTTCCTCTTCCTGAAAGCCCCACACCTCTTTACACTTCCTAGTCATCTTTCAGGGGTCAGGTCACACATTTCTTTTCCAAGGAAGCCTTTGATGAACACTTAAATTTCCTACAAACTTTTTCTTTTCTTTGCCCTTGCCAGGCCCCTGTCACACATAGTGATTTGATGATTTGTACTGACTTACTTAATGACTGACTTCTTTGTTAGATGATGATGATGATGATGATGATGATGATAGTAATAGAGGCCAATATATAACCAAGGATTACCTTGTGTCAGATAACAAGCTGAAAGCTTTACATACATCGCATCATGCTTTCTTCACAACCACTCTATGAGATTATCATTGTTTTTATCCCCATTTTGTGGGCAAGTTAACTGAGGCCCAGACAAATTAAATAATTTAGTAGGGGATGGAATCTGGATTCAAACTTATAATTCAGACCCTGGGGTCCACACTTGTAATTGCTCTGCTAGTTGCTTTTGTTCCTTCATTAGTTCAGCATGTTTTTGAATGTTCACCATGTGCCACTGGTGACATCCAGACTTGCCCCCTGAAGAAGGGCCCGCATCTATGTTCCTCACCATGGTATTCCTAGTGCTAGCGCTGTGCCTGGCATTATCAGGAGGATCAACTGATGGTCAGTCCCACCAGAGAGTCCATCTGTACATGCTCTTCATTGCACTGGGAGGGGTGTACACTACTAGCTCAGAGAATCTGTTTTTGCCAGCTCCATCCAGTACTGCATTGGTGAGGCTTACTAACTTCTCAGAGCCTACCTACTAATAAAGTGCAGAGGATGTGAATTTGGAACTGAGGATACAAATGGCTCTTTTACTTGCCAGCAGCAACCCTGAGTGAGTTGCTTAAGGCCCCAGAGGCTTTGGGGGAGCCTGGAATGATGATTCTCCGTCCTGGGAATGCTGCCCTTAAGATCAATCCAAATATTCAGTTGCTGGCAGCTGAGGGCCCATTTTCTGCCTCCTTTGTGCAGGCTCAGATGTGACTGTTCAGCTGGACACAGCAGAGCTCAGCCTTCTATTCCGACTACCCTTTGGCTCACACACCAGGATGTTCCTCCAGGAAGTCACCAAGGCCTGTGTAGGTAGGTAAGACCCCAGGCTCCCAGAGAGGTGTCAACTGGGGGTACTGACCTACCCACTCCAGTTGACTTTTCACCCTTTGGACTCACATTCAACAACTTCTGTGCCCTCTGAAAGCTGGTGGAATGGAGCTGCAGTGCCCCTAGGCCACCAGCCAACTGTAATTTGATTTTCTGTTTAGGATTTCCGGCCCTCAGTATTAGCTGTAGCAGGGTCTCTCTGCACAGGGCTGCACAGGGTAGTTTGTGACTCTGATAATGAAACTCTTACAAGGTGGCAGGGCCAGCAACTTCTAGAGGCGCATCCATTTCCCTCTCTCCATCACCCAGCTAGAACCAAAGGAAGTCAGTTGTATGGGCTCTCATGCCCTTGAACCTGGTCATGTTCTCCCCAGCAGCTGAGAAAATGGTCTAGCAGTGAGAGGAAAAAATTTGTTTAGATCTGAGATCAGCCAGGCAGGTAAAGGAGAATTTGTGTACAGAGCAGAGGACTAACTATAGAACATGCAAATTCAAGCCACCAGGTGCTGGGGTTTGGGCATGATTCCTGTCAAGCTAACATTTTGTCTCTTTGGGACTAGGGGAGGGTGTGCCTTCTATGGTGGTTCCACTGTGGAGGGTGAAGCTCAGGGATTCCAACTCTTAGGTGTTCTAGGAAAGGGACTGGCTTTGGATGCAAACTGGCTTTTGGGGGAAAGGAAATAGAAACAACATTATGTAGCCTTGAAGGCCTGCTTAAGGAATTTAAAATTTATTTTATAAGCAGGGAAAAAATTTATCTCTGAATCTTAAAAACAATAAAGATCATCTACGTTATGATTATCAGTGGTGATTATAGAAAAGATAATAGTAGTTATGCAGGTTGAGCATCCCTAATGTGAAAATCAAAAATCTAAATGGTTCCAAACTCCAGAACTTTCTGAGTACCAACGTGATGCTGCAAGTAGAAAAATCCCAGACCACGAAACTTTGTTTTATGCCCACAATGATTAAAAATGTTGTATAAAATTACCTTTAGGTTATATGTATAAGGTGTATAAGGTCCCAAGCATTTCAGATCAGAGGTACTCATCCTGCACAACAAAGTGCACAGGCTTTGAATCTACACAGCCCCTTGAGTTCGAAATACATCTGTATCAGGTGAAGTGGTGTGCACCTGTAATCCCAGCAACTCAGGAGGCAGAGGCAGGAAGTTTGAGGGGCCAGCCTGGGCAATTTAGTGAGTCTAATAAAAACAAAAGAAAAGAAAAGAAAGGTGGGAAACTGGGAATGTAGCCCAGTGGTACAATGCTCCTGGGTTTTTGTACTCCCCAGTACAATAGAGAGAGAGAGAGAGAGAGAGAGAGAGAGAGAGAGAGAGAGAGAGAGAGAAAGAATCCATCTGTGTGACTTTGGGTAAGTCATGTCATCTCTCTGAACCTTAGTTTTTGGTATCTTCTAAATGTAATGAATATCTTTCTCATGGGGTGGTGGGAATTAAAAGTAACATGTATGAAAATGTTTTTGAAACTGTAGAGGGTTTTCGTGCCCTCCATCAGAAGAACCAGATAAAGGCACATTGGCAGAGGAACAGACTTTTTATTCTTAGGCTTGAGCACAAGGGAGGCAGCATATAGGGACGTAAATCCCAGGCTGACTCAAACAAACAAACAAAAGGACAGAAATGTGTAGCTTTATAGTGTTCCTATGGCATTCAGGGACGAGATCTCTTGATGTCACTTTATGGTAGAGGTGGAGTTCCAGCTCTCATCATTCTCTCATCATTCCTCCCTCTTCATTATCATCTTGGGTCTCTGCCTCCAGGTGTGATAATTTCTATGCTCATTAGCATAGTAATTAGAAAAGGTAATTGCAGGTTAGTTAGTGACTATTCTACACATGTGTTTGACCCTCACCATTGGGGGGAAAAAAACCTGACACTATTTCAGAACAGGGCAACCTATTGTTCTGTCTTAGTGGAGCTGATTGATAACTCAATTAATTGCTTTGTTTTCCTTGGTCCTGGCTTCCAACCTCCCATTTCCTGGTGTGCTACCTTAATTTCATAGCCTTGAAATCTGATCTACTTTTAAAGTCCCAGTTTTCTGGTATTTTTAACTTCACAAGATTGAGGGTTAACTTAGCTGTCTCAAAATTGCCTACCATATAGAAGGAGCTCAGCAAGTGTTTATTCCTTGGTGCATAGATCATATCTAACATTCACTGTGGACTTGTCATGTGTGAAACACTATTCTAAGACCTTTTCACACAACATTTTATTTAACCCTCACCATGACTTTGTAAGGTAGGTATTATCAATGTCTTCATTTTACAGATGAGGAAACTGAGTCTCAGAGAGGATAAATGCTTATCTGAGTACACAGCTAGGAAACTGTCAGCCAGGATTAGGCAGTATTAGCTAGTTGTACTCCAGAGCCTGAGCTGGAGCCCTTGAGCATCTTGCTGTCTTGCTTCCCTGGTTTGTGATTCCCTCTTCCTATAAATGGCTCAGGGAAGGCTCTGTGTAGGAAGTGGTATTAGAGCTGACACTAGAAGAGAGAACAAGATTCTTTTTCCCAGTTAAGCATACAAGGAGGGGAAAAGGCATGATTGTGAGAGGGGGAAGCAGGTGGTTCAGAGGTACTGAGCTTGGAAGGGTATGGAGAGAACTGAGCAGAAGAGACTAACAGAGGGCAGCTCATGAAGAGATTTAAATAAGTAACAAAGAACCTGGACTCTGCCCTACAGCTTGTGGAGGGCTAGTAAAGAGTTTTAAGCTGGGGAGCAATATGGCAAGATTTGCAAGTTTAGAAAATTCCTCTGCTAAAAAGAAGACAGAAAGAAAATTCCTCTGCTAACGGGTTTGGAAGGGGTGGGGCGGGGGGAGCCTGGAGCAGGGAAATCAGTAGGAATGCATCACAGTGGTTCAGGCATAAAAATAAGGCTTGGACTAGGGTCCTGGCGATGAAACTGGGGAAGAATTGAGGGACTAGAGAGGCATTGAACCGAAGAAACGAAGGCACCATAGGGCTGTGAATTTGGGTTGTGTTGACAACTTTATCATAACTGATTGTGAGCCTGATATAATGGGCACTTAATATTTGTTGAATGGATGAACATAGCTATCTCTTTAAGTGTGTTGAGAAGATTAAGGAGTAATCTTAGCACGTGGTCACAATGAGGTCGGAGGCGTGCCTGGGATCTCCGCCTTGAGCAGCACTTCTTTGTTTACATCTATTATCGCATCTCGACCTCGTACCCCTGCGGTGAACGAGCGAAACGGGCTTGGAGATTCTCCCGAGAATACAGTCATACAGAAGTGCAGCCTCTTCAAGCCTGTGGCTCAGTCTGCGCTCCTTGTTCCTCCCACAGGCTTGGACCCTGCGACCCGGGATCCTGAGTTCCAGTGGCTGTCCCGATACAGGTGCGCGCCACCACAGGAGGCTGGCTCCACACCGACACTGCGCGATTGGAACTCGGCCCCGGGCACCTGGCCCGCTTGCGGGACAATTGGCGGARGCAGGTATCCGTCTCGCAAGAAGCGGTGGGGATTGGAGCAGGTCCTGCCTCAGGGGGCGGGCTCTGTTCTGTTTAGGGGCGGGGCGAAGGCGCAGACGAACTTTCGATTGGCGGAGGTGGCACGGGGGGGCGTAGCCGAATGGGGGCGGCACGCTCGGGGCGGGCGGCGATATGAAGAGCTTGAGGAAGCAGGCCGGGAAATGTCCGCCGCCGCCGGCTCTCGAGAGCGCGACTCTGCAGGTCGGGCGGGCGGTGGGAAGCTGGGCTGGGGGCGGCGGCGGGTGGCCCTGCCCGGCCATCGGGTGGAAAGGCGCTGCGGGTTGGCGGGCGGGCGCGCGCATGGGGCGAGACCAAGGTCCCGGCCGTCCCGAGGTGGGGACACTGGGGCTGAAGTTCTGTGGGGATGTTATTCTCAGCCGGGCATGAGGAGTGCAGGCCGATGGGAAGGGTGTAGCCAGGAATCCGGAGGCAGGGGGATTTTAATAAAGTTCCATTTGACTCGATGTGTGACCTCGGGTCGCTCGCTGCCCCTCTTGGGGCCTCAGTTTCTCCAGCTGAGCTTGCTTTTCAGTCCTGACCTTCCGAGGGGCGAACGTGTTTGTGTGGGGTGTGCACTGCTGTTGACAGAGACTTCCTTTGGATGAAGTGGGGTGTGTATTAGGGCTGTCGTAGTTCTAGGCCCCTGCGGTAGATTGGGCTATGCACAGAGCTGAAGTTCACTGGAGTCCTGGTCCACCCTGCCACTGGGGGCCAGGATGAGGTTACAGGTGAAAGGGACTAGGTTTTTTTCCACACAGCCTTTGGTGGATAATGGGTAGTACAAAAGGCTAATTGTTGAGCTGGAGGTTATCCTCTGGAGAGCTTAGAGGCTCAGAGCTGAAATTTGGGTCAGTCTTGTGCTTTGGGAGGACCTGTCTTTTTGTCCAGATCCAGAGTTTTCTGCAAGGGATTGCTGATGTCCTCTCCCTCCCTCCCCCCGGGTGTGGCCCTGAGGCCCCAGTTTCATGTGAGCTTTGTCATAGCCACTAGTACCCATTTGTACCACTTTTTTCAGTCATTTGCTAGGGATGAAGACGCTGTCAAGTAGCAGTGTTAAGTGTGGGCCAGCACTTCATTTGCTCTTACAAGGCTTGGAAACTATGAGGGGAGGAGAGTGACATGTTGCACAAGAGTTTGTAAAATGAGAGGAAACTAGGCAAGCAGAGGACTTCCTCAATGCTTATGCTTTTCCTTCATTGCAGCCACCACAAGATGCGATTGAAGCACCTGATGGTGCTGATAGTTTGCATTTTCTTGGGCTTATCTTAGAGTTCACTTGAAGAGCCGGTCTTGAGACAGCTATTGCTTCAGTTTCCATGACATTCTGGGTTGTGGTACTGGGACAGGTGAGAGTGTAAGATTAAGAGCACATCCTCTCCTTGCCCTTCATAAGAGGCTGCCAGAATCCAGATAATCGGTGGACAACAAGCCCAATGGCAGGACAAAGAGGTGAGATTTGTCTTTTCAGCCCGCATGCCAGAGCCAGGCTGTTGTAGTGCTTCGTTCTTTCAGCAGAGGACTATCTTTGGTGAGACAGATCAGCTAGCACCCAAGCCTGTTATCTGCCCCTGAGAGAGAAATGTGCAAGGACGGCAGAATCTTTCATTTCCTTTCACAAAAGGGAAACTAGCCACATGCTGGAGAGGAATTATTATCAAGGTTTTGTTTTTACTTTTAGTTTAAAAGAATTTGTCCCCATCAAAACAACACAGTAAGTGAGATTCCACTAGTAATTGCTGATTTGCTCCTATTAAAATTGGTACAAGTGGTACCAAACTCCCCTTTCTGTTCGGGTCATTTCTATTTCCAGAGTTGCTCTGGCCTCAGCGGAGAGTTGCTGCTTCTACAACAGATAAGAGAAACCCTTTGGGCCAACTCTGGATGCTTAGTAGATCCAGGCCCCAAGGTAGTGGATTTGGTTCTTCTATGTGCATATGATTAAAATTCCCACTCCCAGTAGCCAACCCCAGAGAAAAGTTTTTTTTGCAATGCTGTTTGTGGCACACAGCAGCAGTACAAGGCACCTCCCAGGAGCTGGCAGTCTGGCAGAGAGGGGGTCTGATAGTCTATGGAGGTAAGAAAGCATAGGGCCAGCCTTGTGGGACAGTGATCCTTGTAGGGTGAGCCAAGGGCAAGAGCCCCTGGAAGGCCTAAATGTTTTGGGGCTAAGGTGAATCTGGTCTTCATTCCTCACCTTTGCCTTGATAGAGAAAGGAAAATTCTCACTTTAGTGATTGTCTCAAAAATGTTCATTCCTTTCTTGGGTCTGTCTCTGTTGAATTCAGGAATATTAGGGGTAGAAATTGTAGTAGAAAAATAAAGTGAAGCTAGTTTCCACCTGGAATCCATGTCTTAGGTTGGGATGGAAATCTAGGAGCCAAGTTGTGATGTTGAAATGAGACACAGTGCTTCTTGTTGAGTGGGAACCTGTTCACCTGATTCTCTGTTGTCTCTTCAACTGCTAAGACCTTTCACTGGCTTTACACTGGTATCTGTTTTAGGCAGGAGCTTTTCTGCTTCTTGGCTTATTTTATTGCTCTTAACTTTTATAGCCTTTTCTTTCTTTAAACAGAATGGGGTCTGACTTGGGGAAAATATTTATTTAATATTTATTTTTTAGTTGGACACAATATCTTCTTTTATCTATTTTTTTTTTTTTTAATGTGCTGAGGATCGAACCCAGGGCCTCACATGTGGTAGGCAAGCGTTCCACCACTGAGCCACAACCCCAGCCCCTCATTATTGTTATCTAGCAACTGAAAATCCATTTATCTGGTTGAAAACCCAATGGGACTTCCTTCGTAGGGCTCAGTATTTATCAAGTTGTGTAAAAAGTTCACCTGCATTTCATCCTGGGTCCATGCAAAGACCTGCAGTTGTGTTCTGGAGGATTCTGAGCTCTACACTGGAAAGGAAACAGCTACTTGGAAGTCCCATGGGGGCCGTTCAGGGCTAATTTATCAAAGTGGTAGGAGCAAACAAATGTTGGTATTTTGGATTTTTTTTCCATAGTTGATTCAAAGTGAGCTAGCTTTATAGTAATTCAAATTTAGAATGAAATGTGTTATAAGTGTTTTTTCCCCCCAGACCCAGGAAACAAAGTTTTAAAGTCTGGCCTGTGAAAGGAAATGAATGCTATTTATATCTTGGGGTAACATAAAGGGTAACCTAGATTACTAGAGCAGGAGCCAGAGAGAATGTTAGAAAAATAGCCTGTGGGTTGATTTTCTTTCCTCTTGCTCTGTCTGTATTAATAAGTAAAACCTGTGTGACCAACAGATCCTTTTAGCATGAAGAAAATGAATTTGCTTTTGTTACTCTTAGAGGTAGGAATATTACATATCATTTCCACTTTTGTAGTAAGCTCTGCAGACTTTCTAAGCAAATTAATTTGAGTCACATGTTTCTTTAAACTAAACAGAAGTGGGATGGTAGTGGCACACACCTGTAATCCCAGGAGCCTGAGGCAGGAGGATCACAAGTTCAAAGCCAGCAATTTAGCAAGGCCTTAAGCAACTAGTGAGTCCCTGTCTCACAAAGGGCTCACAAAGGGCTCACAAAGGGCACGGTGGCGCATGCCTGTAATCCCAGTGGCTTGGGAGGTGGAGGCAGGAGAATTGATTGGGAGTTCAAAGACAGCTCTGCAACTCAATGAGACCCTGTCTCTAAATAAAATACAAAATAGGACTAGGGATGTGACTCAGTGGTCAAGTGCCCCTGAGTTCAATCCCCAGTTACCCCTGCCCCGCCAAAAAAAAAAAAAAAAAAAAAGGCTGGGGATGTGGCACAGTGTTTAGGTGCCCCTGGATTCAATCTCTGGTACCAATAAATAAATAAATGAAATAAAACAGAACTGTACCAATTTTTCTTCCTCCTTTTATTCTCTGTTTTCCTTCTTTGTCCCGTATAAACATATGTTTATTTCTAGTACAGGAGAATCCCCTAAAGACTTTTTTCCCTTGTGAAAACAGTTTGATTTGGAATTCTACAGTGGTTTTTTATAACAAGAGAGGTGACCCACAAATATTTATTTAGGTGCAGAGCTTTTAATGGAAGAATCCTTAGGGATGGGTAGTTTAGGAAGAGGAGGTGTCAATATCTATTACAGGAAAGGCAGTGTTGGGCATAGATGCTGGCTGACCTACATTTTTGTTTGTTTGTTTTGGTTGGTTGTTTGATTGTTTTTTGTTTTGTTTTTTTTCTTAAAATATACTGTAACAACAGCCAAAAGGGAAAAAAAGTCAATGTAAAAAATATAACTGTAGCAAATTTGTAGTATTTACTGATGATCCATATATGAGCTGAAGCTAGCAAATATGAATCAGAAGAGACTTTCATTCTTGAAATAGTGATGATAGTGATGATAAGGATTTAAACAAAGTGTATGTCTAAGTAGCCTGCCTATTTTTGTCTTTTCACTGTTGCTCCTGGGTACAATATTAGATATGTTTTGATTGCCCCCCCCTTTCTCTTTTTATATCTTTATTTTTTATCTTTTTTTTTTTAAAGAGAGAGTGAGAGATAGAGATAGATAGAGAGAGAGAATTTTTTTAATATTTATTTTTTTTTTAGTTTTCGGCGGACACAACATCTTTGTTTGTATGTGGTGCTGAGGATCGAACCCGGGCCGCACGCATGCCAGGCGAGCGCGCTACCGCTTGAGCCACATCCCCAGCCCGTATCTTTATTTTTTAAAAAATTTTTTTAAAGTTTTTTTTTTTTAGTTATATATGGACACGATATCTTTATTTTGTTTATTTTTATTTTTTTATGTGGTGCTGAGGATCGAACCCAGGGTCTCACACATGCGAGGCGAGTGCATTACTGTTGAGCCACAACCCTAGCCCTATATCTTTATTTAATTTATTTATATGTGGTGCTGAGGATCGAACCCAGGGCCTCGCACGTGCTAGGCAAGCCCTCTACCGCTGAGCCACAAACCCAGCCCTTGATTGTCCTCTCTTAACATCTATAAAATTGGAGTAAAAGTTTGCCTTCTGGAAGGTCACACAATACTTGTAGCAAAGCTAGATAACTTAAGGGTGCTTTTACGTGAGCAACACACTTAGACATTGCAAATGCCCAGTCCCAAAAGTTTAGAACCTGGCTTCCCTCTTCTGGGTCTATCCCTTGGTGGTTTCTTTCCAGAAGAATTGTATTTGTTATCTTTTTTACTCCTTCCCTCACTCCACTTTCTTTTC